TGAAGGTTTTAACTAAGTGCTGTTTTTCTGTTATCTTGCACTAATTTGTAGGAGATTAAAAAACAGCAATTTTAAACATCAACAAGCCACTTAAGCTTTCTATATGGGTCCAATTCATGTGTATAGTATTGGTTAATACTTATGTTGGATTATATGTTAGTCATAGCCCTTCTGTGCTACTAATTAATACCTATATCTTTTAAAATATCTTTGATTTGTAACAATAGTTTGAAACTTTCTCTCTCTGCTACAAATGAATCAGATGATTATCATCTTGTTTGTCTAGATCCTGCATTTTTTTGTGGAATTTTCTTTATCAACTATTTTGCAAGCAGCTATATTACTTTAATTGGGGCAGCTCTGCAATTATCTGCCTCAATACTGAATATCTGCATTTTAATGCTTAACATTAAAAAGTTTTGTTACCGTGTTTCCCTGAAAATAAGCCCTAGCTTGATTTTTATGCATGTGTCTAATATAACCCCTATCCTTAAAATAAATCCTAGTTAAGAGGCTGTGCAGCTGGCTGCCCGCCCATTCCATCTGGTTGTTCGTAGTGCTGCCGCCATGAGGTGAGCCGAGGCAAGTGGGGGAGAGGGTGGAGCTGCCCCACGTGCCCTATACCTGCTTACATCAGGGCCCCCGCAGCCAGGCCTCCCACACCCTGACATCTGCCTTGCCTCGCAATGGTGGTACCAACAATCCTGTCCAGCAGGAGCCTGCGTGGCCACCACTGGCCCACTTCTTCTGTGGCGAATCCATGTTGCTGTTCTCGGTTGCAGAGGTCTTTTCCTGAAGACCTCTGCCGGCGAAACAGAGTCCAGAGGCAACGCGCACGTCAACCCAGGGCTCCATTCTTGGCGGCAGAGGCTTTTTGCAAAGATGGCAAATGTCTTTGCAAATGGAGGGAAGGCTTTGATGTTTCAGCCCTTATATCCATTTGCAAAGCCTTTTGCCACAAATCTCATCCAGGCCTCCATTTGCAGAGAACAGAGGCCTAAAGTACCGTGAGATCACGTGAGATCAGTAGTGAGAAGTGGGCCAGTGGCGGCCATGCAGACTGCTGCTGGATGGGGCTGTTGGTGCTGCTGCCGCAAGGCAAGACAGTGGAAAAAATAAGACATCCCCCAAAAAGAAGACCTAATCCTTCTTTTGGAACCAAAAAAAATATAAGAGCTGCTTTTATTTTCGAGGAAACATGGTATATGTTATTTTTAGGGGGTTCGGGGTTGGCCCGAGAGGAACTAGGGGAGTCCTCTCCGAGGCCAAGGCCAGTCCTGTCTGGGGGGCGCGGAGTGGTAAGGGAGGAGACTGGGGAGCTGGCGGAGGGTGGTGTGATAGGTACGGTCAGTGGGAGGGGCAGATATGGCGGGAGCAGAGGACCATATCGGGTTTTGGGAGCACGCACACACTGCTTACAAGCTTGTGGATGCTCCGATCCTCAGGGCTCTACTCGACCTCCAGGGACCTTAGATCCTCAGGCCCGGGACCATCGGCTGATGCTGTGCAATGCCAGGTCCGTGGTGAATAAGGCCCCCCTCATTCAAGAACTTATTCATGAGGGGGGAGCGGACCTGGCAGGTATCACCGAGACCTGGTTGGGCATAGAGGGGGGAGTTCCCCTTGTTGACCTGTGCCCGCCAGGTTTCCAGGCATTTCATCAGCCAAGGNTCAGCCGAGGACCCGGGGTAGGGGCGGGGGGGTAGCGGTCATTATAAGGGAGAGTCTGTGTCCAAGGGAGGCCACTGTGCCTCAGATAGACGGTGCAGAGTCCCTCCTTGTGAAGTGGGGGCAAGGGGTGCAAGTGGGCCTGTTGATAATATACCTGGCCCCCTGCTATGTGTCAACGGCCCTGCCTGAGCTGGCTGACATGATAGCCGGGGTGGCGGTTGAGACCCCTAGACTTGTAGTTATGGGGGACCTCAACCTGCCATCGGCAGGCGAAACGTCAGCGGTGGCTCGGGAGTTCTTGGCCTCCATGACGACCATGGACTTGACCCAATTAGTTCATGCACCCACCCACACGGAAGGACATACACTGGATCTAATTTTTGTCTCTGGCCAGTGGCAGAATGATCTGGAAATGGGGGAGATAATTATAGAGCCTTTGTCATGGTCAGATCACGCACTCCTTAGGATGGACTTCCGGACCGCTTCCCCCCGCCGCAGGGAGACGGAACCGCCTAGATGGTTCCGTCCCAGGCTCCTGATGGACCCTGAGAGGTTTCTGACGGAGCTTGGGCCATATCCTGAGGAGCTAGGTCACGACTCGGCGGAACATCAGGCTGCGGCCTGGGATGTGGCCGCAGCCGCAGCACTGGACCGAGTCGTGCCGCTGCGGCCTCTGACCCGGCGTAGATCTCAACTGGCTCCCTGGTTCACCGAGGGGCTGAGAGAGATGAAACGCCGGAAAAGACGCCTAGAGAGCAGTTGGAGGGTTACCCGAACCGAATCTGACCGAACACAGGTAAGGATGCATGTTAGATCCTACCTTGTGGCGATGAGGGTGGTGAGGTCTAATTACTACTCCACCCTCATTGCGTCATCAGATAACCGCCCGGCCTCCCTCTTCAGGGTGACCCGCTCCCTCCTTCAATTGAGGGGGGGCGGGGACCCCCTGGTGGGGAAGGCTGAGGAATTTGCACAATATCTGCATGACAAAGTCGCTCGGATCCGAGAGGGTTTGGACTCTGACTGGGTGGCCCCGGGGGAGGAGGCGAGGGCAGGTCTTGAGACTGTTGTATGGGAGGAGTTTGACTCTGTGGCTCCCGAGGACGTGGACAGGATCCTGGGGAGACTGAATGCAACCACATGTTTATTGGATCCGTGTCCCTCCTGGTTGGTACTGGCNGGTCTCCTCAGGGTGCCGTCGGCCAGACAGTGCCGGCTGGCGACCCCAAGGGGGAGGGCCTTCTCTGTGGGAGCTCCCACCCTCTGGAATGAACTGCCCCCAGAGATCAGGGTCATCCCTGATCTCCCTTCCTTCCGCCGCGCCCTTAAGACTTGGTTATTCCAGCTTGCAGGACTGGCCTAGGGTAATTTTTAGAGGGATTTTAATTATATTTTAATTGGACAATGTTCAAATATTTCTTTTAATTAATTTTAAATTTGTAATTGTTATTTATGTATTTTAATTGATTGTCAGCCGCCCTGAGTCCGCGAGGAGAAGGGCGGGATATAAATCCAAATACAATAATAATAATAATAATATTCATCTCCTGTGAGATTGAGCCATCTTTCAAATTGGAAAGGGCTTAATTGTCTGGCAACTATTTCACTTTGCCACAAAGCCAAGAAGTGAGATTATAGAAATTCAACTTTTACATTTTGACTATTAGTTGCCAGAAAGACAACACTGAGTGATGTGAGAGTCCCATCTTTCTTGCATATTAATGTTAATGGAAATATGTCTCCTTTCTAGATGCTACTTGGAAAATAGGCAACAACCCCAGAAATTTCCAAGCTACTATACCACAGCAGGATATGGAACCAGATTATGAGGACCCAAAAGTTTTGGGCAGAAGAGGTTTACGATATCCAGTCTTCCACCCTGTGGTACTGAGCAATCACCATATCATATAATATAATACAATATAATACAATATCTAAATATTAGCAGAAAATGAGGGCTGGAGTTGTGAAAGGTATGAGCCCACCAAATTTGCAAGATCTCCCTAATTGTATTTTTATGGATCTTATAATAAAGAGGCCAGATGCATATCTGGCATTCTAGAAGCTAACATGCCATTTAATTACAATGTAGCATTGTAATGAGATTTCTATGATTTTGGGCTTCATAAAATTTAAAGCTCACATGGGTACAGAAAAAACTGAAAATGTTTTAGTATTAAATTTAATATTAATATTAAATTGGAAAGTAACTTAAAGTTGAAATATACTATTTATAGATTAGCCTTACCATTAAACACTCTTGTAACCCAGCGAGCCTGAAGTTCTACTATTGGTAGAATAGATCCTGTTACTGATATAAAACCTATGAAGGCAAGTGTGGGCTTCTGCAAGTGAGGAGGGAATACTTGTTTATAAAGGGATGTACTGCTTTTGCAAACATTGCGAACAGATTCTTCCAGGAAGAGGAATGAAGCAGCATAGCCTGTAGTAAAAATGACCACATCTATATTTTCTTCTACAGTTCCATCTTCAAATATGGCGGAAGTCTCAGTAAACCTCTTCACGTTTGGTTTTATAATCACTGAACCACAGAGGATGCAGCTGGGCAGTTCATCATTTATAATGACGTATGTCAATGAACTGTTAAAAAGAACAAAAGTAGAAAGAAGCACTGTTAGTTCAACTATCCCCATTAGCCTAATCCCATTTTCAGTACTATCCTATTTTGCTTCTGAAAGACTTGCCTATTCATATTGACTCACATGGCACAGACAAAAAAAATGTCAGCACACCTGTTTACTTCCACCACCTCCCTTAACTGCTTGTCTGGATATTAAATACTTCTGAATGTTGGCTAGTTCTTCAATTGGTAGAATTAGATAGCAGATAGAAGACAGCAGAATATTGATCCTAGGCTGGATTGTCATCAACTGCCCTAGAAATTCCATTTCTTCCTCCTTCTATTTTTATCTCAGATGTTTCAGGATAGCTAGGCATAGATTATCCTCCAAATGAGATATGAGAAGTGACCCTAGTTAAGTGGTTGATTGGCTGGCTAATCAGCAGATGGGCAATCTAGTTGTTAACAGATCAACCTGAATCAGCTTGGGTGATAGGTTTGGTACAGGGGCCTATAGGTATAATCTCTTCTTTGTGAGATCAGTTCTAAAATTTCTAAATTCATTTCTTTTAATCATCAGTGTGCAAATGATACCCTGCTTTTAATGCCTTTTGTAACAGAGCCAGTGTTCAGTTCAACGTTCTGTTCTTCAAAATAATTGTGTGTATCATAAGCAACATATTACCCAATATGGATTTGAGAATTCTCCAGGAACATAGTTCACAAAACACCTTGGAAAAAGGCTCAAGAATCAGCAAATAGTCTAGCTAGCGATTTTACAGTATATATTTCCGTTGAGGAAGGGAAATTTGTTAAAAATGCACTGGGAAAAGAAAATTATTTGTCAACAAACCTCTGTCTTGCAAATAGCAAATTAGTTTTTACTTACTAGCAGACTTCATCTTTTGTAAGCTCAGCATTTTGGCAAATACAATATAATGCATAGTAAAAGAGATTACCTTTTAATGGGGATCAATCCATAATTTTTATGGTTAAACCATTGATTGAATTTCTCTGCCAATAACTTGTCCCTAATGCTGACAGGAAGAAATCTTTGAATGAAATATAGAAATCGAGTTTGGAAGACCATATCATTAGGCCACCCAGCTTTTGACATGCGACTTAATACCCAGGTTCCATTTCTGGTGCTGAGAAAGACCTAAGAGGCAAAAATAAAAAATAAAAAATGAAAAGAGCATTCTTAGGGACTCTCAGCTACTGATGAGTGGGAAGTGATCTAGTCTATCAGTAAAAGGCAAAAAGGAGGTTAAATCCTTTGGTAAGATCAGTGCTTTTTTTCTAAAAAAAAAAAAAAAAAAAAAGTGCCGGAACTCACACATGTCATACAACTCGCCTTGCCTACCCTACAAGGTTCCATCCCAAAAAAGGTGCCGGAACTCCGTTCTGGGCGTTCTATGAGAAAAAAAAAGCCCTGGGTACGATAGACAGCATTATTAATACATCCAAAACAAAAACATTAAAACAGTATCCTATGGAGGTACATAATATGGAAGAGCAATACTGTATCAGGTTTACAACTAAGGATGTGAGAATAATATGACCTAATAATGCATAACCTATAAGAGGCTACAGAATATGGCAAGCTAAAAACTTTTGGCAATATTTTCAAGAAAGAATTAGAAAGCAATACAGGAGGGGCAATAATTCTGAAATACAGGTAATTCTCGACTTACAACCACAATTGAGCCCAAAATATCTATTATTAAGCAAGACAGTTCTTAAGTGAGTTTTGCCCCATTTTATGATTTTTTCTTGCCACAGTTGTTAAATGAATCAATGCAGTTATTAAATTAGTAACACAGCTGTTAAGTGAATCTGGCTTCTCCATTGATTTTGCTTGTCAGACATTGCAACCGTCATAAATATGAACCAGTTGCTAAGTATCCAAATTTTGATCACATGACCATGGGGATGCTGCAATGGTCGTAAGTGTGAAAAATGGTCATAAATCACTTTTGTAACTTTGAACAGTCACTAAATGAATGGCTGTAAGTTAAGGACTACCTGTACTCAAGGAGCATTTGATTGCACCATTATGATGGCTTAAAACAGAAACATTTTGGTGATGTCTATCAACCACCTGGTCTTTTGTTAGGATTCTGTAGCCCAGAAATAATTTTCTGAACAAAACCTTTAGACCTATACTTAGAGGAAATAAAAAACAACTAAAGTAACACCATAAAAATAGATACCGTGTTTCTCCAAAAATAAGTCCTGGCCTTATTTTTTTTTTTGTCTCCAAAAGAGGCACCAGGTCTTATTTTGGGGGGGAGGGGTGTCTTTTCCACTCACCTTGCAGCAGTGGCACTGACAGCCCTGCTGTCAGAACACATATTCTAACAGGGGCTCTTTTCTATCTTTAATTCATACTCTAGTCTTTCTATACTTCTGGGTTCTGGCATGCTCCTGCAGGGGAGGGGAGAAAAGCACTGTGGGTTATTGCTCTGATTTCCTCTATCGCTACACTGTAACTCTTTGCTGTTTCTGCATACTTCCTCTGTGAACTATCTCTCCCCTTGATGTCAGCTAGAAAGAGGGGGGAGAAGAAAGGAAGGTGCCTCTGGCAACTGGTTTATCTCCGTGTTCGGAAGGGAAGGCATGAAGAGCTGACAAAACATCACTGCAACCCTTGTGTTATCTGCTCTTTCCCACAATGGACCTAACAACTGGGGATTGGCCCATGTGAACTGACCAGATGAATGTTGGGGTGGGGTTTAGTTGGGACACTTTTAACCTATTGATCTGAGCAGGAAACCGTCAGATCCTGCCTACTATCAGCTTTTCCTAATAAAGGTTCCTTTTGGAAGAAGCCACTTCCACGAGTTCTGTTTCCTTAGGATGAGGTTTTGAAGTAGGCCCTGACATTAGACAGGATCTGCAGTAATAGTCAGCTCGGAAGGAAAGCCCTTACAGGGGACTTAGCAAATCATGTCAGACAATGGAATAAAGAGAGAGGAACCGGCTACAGGGGGGGAATCCTCCCGCCAAGTAGACCTCTGTGAACAGTCCAGCTCCAGATCCTCAAGCTCCTCAGAAGAAGAGGTGGTGACAGAACGATGCCACAAGCCTAGGTGGTCGATGGGCGTTGTGAAAAAGGACGACTGGGAGAAGAAAGCTAGAAAGGTAACACTCAGACAAGGCAGTCATCAACCAGGATGGAAGGAGGAGATGGAAAGATCTCTCCATCTCAGTGAGGACGAGGAGGACCGCTCAGGGCATTCCAACCGACTGCTGAAACAGGCATGATGAAGATAGCCCTCAACTCTATGAAGGGGGAGAAAGCCGAACCCTACCAAGGCACCATCTGTCTGGGGTGCAGCAAGAGAGGGGAGTCTGAACCCAAGGTTCCAGACCCATCCAAAGGAACTGTCGAACCCGCCATAGTCGCTGCTGCTGCAGCCACTCCTTGTCGCATGGAAGCCGCAGGCAGAGAGGGGAGATGACACAAGCAGAAAAAAAGGCAATGCTCCATCCAGAAGTTCCCTCCACTGGATGTGAAGTTCCGTGTGGAGCCGCGGTGCCTGGGATTCTTCCTAACCCAGGTGCTAAACTACATGGAGGAGTAGGGCCGGGACATCCCCACCAATTGTGCCAGAATTCGCATTGTGCAAGCCGCCCTAGACGGCATCGCAGCAGATTGAGTCGTAGATCTCCACGATTCTGATGCCCCGGAGCTACTGAACTTCAACCAATTCATGTTCTCCCTCAGGCGCAGGTTTGAAGACCCATTGGCTGACCGGAAAGCCCAAGAGCGGATAAAGACAGTGAAGCAAGATAGACGGCCAGTGGCGGAATACACCCAAGAGTTCTGAACCCTGGCCAGAAAACTGAACTGGCCAGAGAACATCTTACTTAGCCACTTCAAAGATGGCTTAAACTACGACCTCTACGATGCCTGCCTCCCTCATGGGGACCCTCATCGACTGCAAGATTGGGATGTCTTAGCTGAGGAAGCCAAGATCAACTTAGCCAAGAGGCAATGCAAAGGAAGGGGACTGTAGGGGAAATTGCTGCCCGAGCCAACCCGCGAGCCAGCAAAGCAGTCATCAACCCCAAAAGAAGCACCGGGTGTTTCAAATGAGTCTGCGCAGCTGCCAAGGAGAATGGCTGTACCGAGACAGCGCTCTGGATAAGAGTGCCTCTTTTACAGCCACTTCCCATTGCCCGGCGGTCTTTTTGAAGTCCTAGATCCCTCGGAGGGGGATTGGAAGGAAGAGGAATCCTGCGGAGTGGTCCTAGATGGTGGTTGGGTCCGATAGAAGTAGGGAAGCCTTGGAGAAGCCGGACGGGGGAAGGAGATGGCCCAGCATGGTGGCCGCAAAGAAATAACAGTAGCCAGCTGTGCAGAAAGCAATGGAGAACTAGCGGAGTGATGGTGTGATGGTCTGGTGGTGTGTATATCCAATGACCCCGCATGAGTGATCTGGGAAGGGACAACTGCTCTGGAGGATTTCCAAAGAGGGAGAAGAGAAAAGGAGCCCCAGAAAGAAAAAGGTGGAACTTTTCCCCCCATGGATTAGTGGCGATAGAAAAGTTGGGGCAAATGAGGCTTTTACCTTAACTAGCTGGACTTCATGGGCTGAAAAGGATAAAATCTAAGAGTAGCCCTTCTTCTTTTTCGTGAGAAGCAAGTAAAAATTCAGAACAAAAACTGAGGGATAAAAAGTTCTGATGAAGCAGAGAAAGCCGACATTTTGAACTAGTGTTGAAGGCTGCACAGCATTGAAAGGGAGAAGGGAGACATCTACTGGCCGAGAAGAAAATAGACATAGAGACAAAATAAAGAAAAGAAAAACTGTGCCAGAGAGAAAGAAAATTGGTGACTAAAATTAAGGAGAGACCTTTTACATTTGTATACCCTGTTGAATACATCTATAAATATAATTGTTAAATTGTATATTGTACTGCCAATGAACTCATAATATTGATTACTATTTATAAGATAATTAATTACTGTGAATTAATAGTGTGATTGTTATACATCTTATACGATTTTAGCACCATTTAAGATAGAAAATATAAAATATTACTTTACTATAAAGGCAATTTTGGACAGAGGAGGCACAAATTAGGCAAATTATCCTCTCAGGTGTGCTGGAAAGAAAAACAAGGATTGTATATAAGTGGGAGGGCTGGTTCACAATATTCCAAAAAATGACAAGTATTCCCAACTTAACAAGAGTTGGGATAGGAAAGAAGCAAATTACTCAAACAACATCAGTTAAACTGAGTCCTGCGGGGCAAAGATCAATAGAAGAGATGATGCAGCGAGAAAAAGCGAGCTCATTTAAGGAATTGGAATTGATGTTACAATCTATGCAGGAAGTAATGTTAAGAAACCATGAAGACTTGAAAAAAGAAATAGGAGAAGTAAGGTGTGACACTGAAGAACTCAAAGAAAAGATTGGGGCAATGGATGCAAAATTTGAATGCTTTCAACAACAATCTTAAAAAACGAACAGAAATTACTAGAGATGGAAGAAAGAATGAATAAGGAGGAGAAAAGGGTAGATGAAATGAACGAAAAACTTTTACAGGCTAATAAAGAATTAGAAAAAAACAGTCATTTCACTTGAAACAGAGAAAGCAGACCACTATCTACATTTCCAAAATGTGAGAGAAGAGAAAGGGGAAGACTTCCCAGAAACGATGGCAAATTTGCTAGCGGAAACCGTAGGAAGTAGGAGGGAAGAAATGGTGAATGAGATGGATGAAATATATAGGATCCATACTAATTATGCTAGAAGACACAATCTGCCCAAAGAAGTTCATATTAGATTTGTCAAAAAATCGGTTAGAGATGAAATTTTATACAGAACTAGAGACGATCCGATAGAATTTAGAGGAAAACAACTAGTTGTTCTTAAACAAACCCTTAGAAGGGTAAGAGATTTAAGAAGGCCATATCAACACATAACATCTAAACTAACAAGACAAAATATTAACTTCAGGTGGCTGACGCCGGAAGGCATTATGATGACATGGCAAGAAAAAAGATACAGGTTAGATACAACAGATAAGACAGAAGAATTCTTTAGGCAATATTTTTGTAGTGAAGAAGAGTTAGAAATAAAAGAACTGAGAAGAGAAGGTGCTACAGGAGAACAGGTGATAGAAACAAGGAAACAAAGTATAGAA